AGGATTGTGGCCATTTGGAAATGATATGTGTTCTAGGGGTAAAACTCCAGAGAAAAGTAACTTTTACTTACTAGGTTCGAAGTTTGAGTCAGGCCCATGCTGGCTCCAATTATAAGTGAGATTTACTCCTTTCCAGAGTCCTGTGGGGTGAGCATTACTGCCCTTGTTTGGCAGATGAGAAAACTGAGGAAACTCGGGGTCACAGAGAGTCAAAAGATGTAACCCAGACTGTCTTATTCAGAAGCTTGTTGGGCTAAAGCCAGCAACTACGGGGACAAGGAAGAGCCATACAGGAAGAAGAAATAATTATAAAACCACTATTAAATTTATCGAATGTCTTTGCTTCTTTCCCAAGGTGTCCTAGAAATCAATGTACTTTTGGCCCTCAGTTCAGTTTGCATTAGACCCCGAACTAAGCTGCACATAGCTGAAGCAGGATGGGCAGTGAATTTAAGTAGGGGCACCCAGCTGTAAAGGACATAGAATCTCAACAATACAGATAATGTTCTACTTGGTGTTACATCTTCCCCTCAGAAGCTGCTTCTTATGGCGTTCCCAAAGACTCCATCCCTGAGTCAGGCCTGGAGACTGAGGTAAGGAGATTTAACTGTCCTGCCGTTCCTGAGCTTTCTGCCCCTACTAACCAGCCAAGCATCTTGAGAAGCACTAATTAGAGTGCGGACTCCAACATGAAATGTTAAAACTTGACTCTTCAATCAAAGGACTAGACAATGTTTTTAAACTACAAGTTATGATCCATCACTGGGTTATGAAATCACTTTATTATAGGCTTGTGGCCAACATTTATTTTTAAGTGGATAATTAGGAGAGGCTAGTATGAAACAGAGCAGCACCCTGTGGTGGGGTCCCAGGTACAAATCCTTTCTATGCCCTCGATTCTTTTTTTTTTTAACATTTATTTATTTTTTATTTTTTGGCTGAATCGGGTCTTAGTTATGGCATGCGAGATCTTTTGTTGCAGTGCGCGGGCTTCTCTCTAGTTGTGGCGTGTGGGTTTTCTCTCTCCAGTTGTGGCACGCGGGCTCCAGAGTGCATGAGCTCTGTAGTTTGCGGCACGCGGGCTCTCTCGTTGAGCGGTGCAGTTCGGTAGTGGTGGCACGTGGGCTTAATTGCCCTGCAGCATGTGGGATCTTAGTTCCCTGACCAGGAATCAAACCCACATCCCCTGCATTGGAAGGTGAATTCTCTACCACTAGACCACCAGGGAAGTCCCATCCATGCCCTCGATTCTTGGTGGTAGGAAATAGGCTTCATTCAGCCTCCTAGACCTCTCCTAAGCTCCAAAGGACAGATTCAAAGAGTTGTTTATCAGGAAAGGGAAGGGATGCAGAAACAAAGGAGGAGCAGTCAAGAAACAATAGTCCAGTCATGGGGCAGTGTTCTGGTTCCTCCTCAAGGAATATATGTAATAAAATACCTTTGAGTTCTTCTGCAGGAACTAAGGCCCTCACCTAGGTGGAGGATGGTAACTTCAGACTGAGCACAAGATTCCTGAAACACCGCCCTGCTACCTCACCACCAACGAATTGAAAGAAAGTCTGCACACAGTGAAAGATAATGAAGACTTTGACCCCCTTCACCAAATGATTCTTTCTCCCTTTAAAACCTTTCATGGTCAAGCAGAATCTTCAGAGTTGGTTTTAGGACATGAGGTCCACCTTCTCACCAGGTTGCAACCCTCCTGAATAAAGCAACCTTTCCTTTTCCAACCAACACTTGCCTCCCAAATATTGGCTTTTGAGCAGCAAGAAGCCCAACCTAAGTTCTGTAACAAGTATAGAAAATAAAATATCAAAACACAATAGTTGATAAAGCAAGTATAAGTATTGTATTTTAAACTTGTTTTAGGCCTGTGTGTCTATACATGCATACATACACACACAGTGAATACATACATACACAGTACCTATAAATCTATAAGTAGATACCAGGTCACATGGGTTTGATATTATTTCTCTGGCCAAGTAAAAACTTATTTTATTAACCAAAATTGGAACAAGAATACTCACTAACTAGTTTCATTGCAATGAAGTAATTACTGTGTTCCTTTTATGATTGTGTACAGTGATATTTTATTGAAAATCAGCAGTTCACCTCATAACTACATCAAATGACTAATATTTAAAAAAATGAAAAGAACATTTTGAGTAGTGAAATTAAAGTTTTTTTTTAAGTTTCCTCCTTATTTCCTCTGTATTTCTAAGTTATCTGTAGTGAGCATGTATTCATTGTTTTTGTAATGAGAAAAAAATATGAATATATCTTTATAACCAACTAAGACCTCAATACTCTATGCATTGAAGAGGAAACTGTTTTTACCACAAAGACCTTAAAAGGGGGGGGGGAAGCAAAAATTAGAAAAATACTGAAGAATGTCCCAGAGCAAAATACACTTTGGTGGTTTTGTTTGTTGATAAGGCCTGTGACTGTGCAGTAAGCACTTGGTTGGGGACATTTTCTGCTGACTTACTTCCTGCCAAAAAAAAAAAAGAAGAAGAAAAAGAAAGAAAAAATAGTTCAAGTTTACGTACATTCAATCTATATCACTCCATGAATGTTTGAACAGCAGGCAGCTACAGTAAATTGTTCTCTAATTTAGACTTTTCCTGGTAGGAAAGTCCTCTCCCAGTGCCATTGCTGATAAAAGCGACCACTTGAAAGCATTCTCCGGCTGGTTAGCCAAGGTAATTCCGAAGGGAGAATTTACAAGGCACCAACATTAGTTGACTTTGCACAATTTGTTTTGGTCCTTTGGCCCTTTGAGTCATACCTAGGAGTTATTGAATCCAACTAAGTATGTTGTTTGATGCAGGCAGTAGAAGGAAATTAGGCAAAAAAGTATTGTACCATTCACAGCCAATTTCAATGTATTCTTTTCCAAAGTTCATTTGGTTTGAGAAACTTTTATTGCTATTGCAACTTTTTGTTTGTTTGTTTGCTACTTATCACCAAGAATCACTCTGTTAAATGCCTTACTCAACACTCCAAACTGACTGGAATTGTGTGTTAAGAACAATACTGAAAGCAAAAAAAAAAAAAGAAAAGAAGGCAATAGTAACAATTAATCATTGCTAATTTTTAAGCACAGACTGTGTATGAGGAACTATGCCAAGTGTTTCACATACATCATCCTCTTAGTCTACACAATAATCTATGAAGTAGACACTCATCCACATTTCATGGATGAAGAAACTAAGGCACAAAGGGGAAGTGAATATAGCACAACCTTGTGTGCCATGATAAGAACTTTGGACCTTGAAGATAATTTGGGTGAAGGTGCACAAGGTGGATCGAAAGTGAAAAACACCAAATGGGTGAAAACCAGTTGGGAGACCCATCCCCATAGACATACTGCAGAATGGTAAACATCCTGAGGACTTAATGATCTTGTGTCTTTCTACTTTGTCATCTTGTGGCAGTTTCATTCTTCCCTTTGCCCCTGGCAAATTCATACACTACCTCCAAGAGCTGGTTTTTGGGTCAGTTCCTCTCTGAAGAACTAGCTAACATGCCACTAACTTGTGTGAAAGGCAGAACAACATGAAGGCAAGAGCAGGGAGTTGAAAGTCAGACTGATCTGCTCACCCTCTAGCAAACTGGTCTTGGGAGACGCCTTAACCTTTCTGAGACTGTTACTGCAACTCTACAATGGGAATAATGTTACCTGATGTGCAAAGTGGTTGTGAAAATTTAGATGATACTCTTGCACTTCATAAGCCTCTATAAATAGCGTCTATTTAAGTAGTTTGTTATCTCAAAGCTTCCTCCCTTTCTCCCACCCCAAGGAGACTGAAATGGACATTCTCCATTTTCTCTTAGCAGTCTAATCCTCCCTGTACACAAACATTGCCACCTTAGGTTGAAATGACTTTGGTTCATGGGTAAAGGTCTGTAGCTTTCTCCTGCCTCAACTAGATTCTGCCTTCTTGCCCTCTAGGCTGAATAAAGATTTCCATATCCTAACCTCTAGAACCTTGTGAAAATGTTACCTTATATGGCAAAAAAGATTTCACAAATGTGAAAGGATCTTGAGATGGGAAGATTATTTTAGATTATCCAAGTGGGTATAGTGGGATTATCCAAGCGGGCACAGCATAATCACAGGCCCCTTTTAAGAGGCAGGCAGGGTATAAGAAGAAGAGTCAGAGGTGACAACAAAAGTAAAGGTTGGAGTGATGTAGTTTGAAGATAGAGGAAGGGACCAGGAGCTGAAGAATGCAGGTGGCCTCTAGAAGCTGAGAAAGACAGGACATAGATTCTCCCCTAGAACCTCCAGAAGGAATGCAGCTCTGAGGACACCTTGACATTAGCCTGTAAGCCCCATTTTGGACTTGTGATGTCTAGAACTGTGAGATAATAAATTTGTGCTGTTAAAGCCACTGAGTTTGTGGTACTTTGTTACAGAAGCAAAGTAACTAACACACCCAACTTTCAATGCCATCCTTTCTTCCTAAAGTATAGTAGTGTCTTCTTAAAGCATAAACGAAAATACAATCTGTATCTCTCCTAATTTCCGCAGCTGTTTAACACACAATCTCAATATCTCCAGTGTTAAGAGATTCATGGAACAGTGGTAAACTGCAAATAAGGTTTTACTGAACCCGAGAATACTGAGGAAAAAGTCTATTAAAGACATTTTCATGCTTAGAGCAAAACTCACGGTATAGAAATGGAATGTAATAAGAACCAATTCTGTAAGTTTGCCAAATGTGGGATTTATTACAGGCGGTAACATAAGTACAGGAACCGTTTTCATCATTTCATTTTTGTTAAATGTCAGCATTATCAAAGGATCAATAAAAAGTACAATATTTTAATGTAATGCTCTGGAAAGTATCCGTATATTTCCACTAAGTAGTAGAGAATCCTAGTTTCATTTTTATTAATTTTCTATACTGGGGTAAAGTATAAATCTTAAGGAGGTAAAAGCAGTGTCTACTTTATTTACTTATTTTTTTTAAAAAAGCAGCCCAGAAAACTTAAGTGCAATTAATATTTATTGGCAAAGCTAATCATGACATTATTATGTAAATAAGTAGTTATTAAGTAATACAATCCTGGAAATATGCAAATATATATCAGCCAACATACAACACCAAGTAAAACCAGTGTTTATTAAACCAAACCTTCTTTCACAATATATGTTTGCTTAAAATTCTGGAGATTTTTCTTTATATGAAATTGTGATATGTCAACATTATTTCTTTCCTCTATTAATAAATATTGACTATACCACAACTTCATTTATTTTGTTTATGGAGAATTTCAAGGATAATAAAATCATCAGATGATTTTTCCGCAGTTAGATTGAAAACGAAAAAAAAAAAGAAGAAACACTTTATATAGCAAAAGTACAGATTTAGGCAGCCGACTCTTCAAAAGTACAGATTTAAGAGCTAACTCTTCAAAAGTTTCTTGATTATTTTCTTATACAGAGGATTCTGCGGGTCCAGACAAATTTTCCTCCCATCCTTAAGCGTAGCTCTGCCAGGGAAAGAAGAGGCGCGCCTTTCAGTCCTTGGGTTTGAATTTGGGATTAGGCTGGCGGGAGGCGGGTGGAGAGGGGCGGTAGGGAAGGGGAGAGGAGAAGAGGGTGGGCACGAAAGAAGCGAGTGCAAGGACTCACATCAGTTGGGGGCTGGGGCAGTGGAGTCCAGCCCCGATCACCTCCAGGCTGGAGATGCTCCGGGGATGGACCGCAGAGGTGGTCTTCACACACACGCAGCGCAGGTCTCCAGCTCCACCTTCAGAGTCTGCTGCGGGTGGGCCGGGGACAGTGGGGAGTGACGACTCTGTGAATAGCCAGAGGTACCTTAGGAATCTTCTCGTGGCGTGGCGTCTGACCTTCACTTCCCCATCCACAAACCAGACCTCCCTCAGAAAGTGTCTGACTGTCCAGGTGGTAGAGCGCAGCGGGCAGCACGTGGCACAGCGCCTGCGCTCTTAGCCGCGCTCGGTCAATCACAGCTGGGAACCGAGACGGGTACAGACTCCGCCCCAGCCCCGGGGGTTCCAGCACTCTCTCCCCACCGCCCCCGACCTCCCCCAGGCCCTGCTTCATTCAGCTCTCACCTTGGGCGAGAGCGACGGCTAGTAGGAGCAGCAGCCCGGGGCTGGGCCGCGGGCCGGGGGCGCGGGTGCCAGCTGCCAGGCTCATGTCGCAGAGATGCCAGCAGGAGCCGAGAGCGCAGGGGCAGCCCGGGCTGGCGCTCCGCAGACCGGTGGTTCCCGAGACTCTCAGGCCGTTTTATACCCGCGGTGGGTCGACTTCGTCGGAAGCCTGGGGTTGAGGATGGAGAACTGCGGTGCGGAAGCTGAGACACTTCTGCAGAGTTGGGCACTGTGCAGCCAAGATTAGGGCAAAAGGAAAAGAGGCCAGGGATCAGCAGTCTTGCTGGGAGCTGGTAGCAGGATCCAACTGCCACCCTGAATTCATATAATACATGCACATTTGTGCAGTTAGAAACGGTACTTTAACCTTGTAAAAATGTATGTTTTCTTGGTTATGTGCAACAGTAGAGTTCTCTGTAGTCACCGTGTTGCAGTTGGTACAGCAGGAAAGTTTGTTTCCTTCTCAACCCTCAATTGCCTCATCAAGAACAAATACCGTATGCTAACACATATATAAGGAATGTAAGAAAGAAAAAAAAAAAGGTCATGAAGAACCTAGGGGTAAGACGGGAATAAAGACCCAGATCCACTAGAGAATGGACTGGAGGATATGGGGAGCGGGAAGGGTAAGCTGTGACAAAGTGAGAGAGAGGCATGGACATATATACACTACCAAATGTAAAATAGCTAGTGGGAAGCAGCCACATAGCACAGGGAGATCAGCTCGGTGCTTTGTGACCACCTAGAAGGGTGGGATAGGGAGGGTGGGAGGGAGGGAGACGCAAGAGGGAGGGGATATGGGGATATATGTATATGTATAGCTGACTCACTTTGTTACAAAGCAGAAACTAACACACCACTGTAAAGCAATTATACTCCAACAAAGACGTTAAAAAAAAAAAAGAACTGCTCCTTCACTTCTGCCTTTCTTGTTGATTACCACTGAGTGAGCTTGGCAGGTGCGTTTCTTCCAGATGTGCCGTTTGTCATTGTTTTCTGCTACTAAAGAGTTGAATTTGGTCTCCAGGTGATGACCTGGTTCCAAATTTCACGTGAATGTGGAAAGTTTCCTCAGTCTCTTGAATGGGATCCACCTGGCTCTACCAACCATCGTCCAATATACTCCAGGAAGCAAGCTCAGTTAGCCTCATCTATCCTCTTATTCTGAGAAAAATTGTAATGGTAATGTTTGGATGCACGCTTTCTATAGAGATTGCTACCTGGATGTTTCTCCATTCTGCTCAGGAAGAAGAGAGGTCAAGGAGAGTTTTCAGGCCATATCTCCCGGTGCCTGCTGCCACCTGGCCGGTACAAGTGACAGGGTGAGATGGGCTGCACCGTTGGCGGGAGTAGTGAAGCTCTCGGGAGGACACAGAGCACCTGGGAGTTGAGTGTGTAAAAGATGCAACAGAATCCTGCACAGAAAAGGTCCAGAGATCAATATAGACCATCTTCCCTTCCCTGAAAAAGAATGACTTTGGCTCTTGATCAGGGCAAAGCACGCCCTCATCTCAAAGCCAGAGGCTCCCTGTCACACTGATTAACAGTGGTGAGGGGCCTCAGGAGCCCAATGCATGGAACTAGCAGACCTCTTTTTTTTTTTTTTTTTTTTTTTTTCGGTACGCGGGCCTCTCACCGCTGCGGCCTCTCCCACTGCGGAGCACAGGCTCCGGACCGGCAGGCTCAGCGGCCATGGCTTACGGGCCCAGCCACTCCGCGGCATGTGGGATCTTCCCGGACCGGGCCACGAACCCGTGTCCCCTGCATTGGCAGGCGGACCCCCAACCACTGCGCCACCAGGGAAGCCCTAGCAGACCTTTTAATGCTCAGCAGGACCAGATTTCTGCAGGGATATGGAATTTAGTTCCTGGGCCTGGAATGTGCTTTCTCTTACTCTCCCACCACCTGTCTTTTCAGCTGGCTAGTTCTACTCATATTTCTGGTGTCTGCTTAAATATCACCTCCCCACAGGGGCCTTCCCCGACAGCTAAAGCTACTTGTTTTCCCTGTTGTTGTCTTGTAACACCCACTGCTTCTCCTATGTCTCACAGCTCATACAAACACAAATATATGACATACACACACACATGCATATATATCTAAATGTGTTTAAAATGGTTTCTCTTCCTAAATGGAAAGCCCCGTGTGGTGAGATATAGTACTGTCTATCGCTATTCTAGCTCCCTGGAAGGAACTCAGTATAAAGTACTACACTAGTGAAGATGATAAATGTTGAAAATGAGAACGATGAGGCTTTGACGTGTTCATGTGTCTGTTTCTTTGTGTAGTTGGAGCGTACCTCTATATGAACTTGTGGTCGTGATTATTTGTCAGCCTGTCTGCCTCTCCCACCAGACAGTACTCTCTTCAATGGCAAGTCTCTGTGACTTACAGTCTTTGAATATCCAGCATCCGTGCAATGGCTGGTACAGCATGTATAAGTCATACATGTGTATGGAACTGAAACTTGAGATCCCAAATTGGGTTAGCCCAGAGGGAATGGACAGGAGGGGTGGTTTGGCGTATGGATGGGCAACATACTGGATTTGTACAACCTTACCCCACAGATTTCAATATTTGCAGTATAAAGGAACCCAGGGAGTAGTGACAATTCATTCATTCTTTCTCTGCATCTAAATAGAATAATTCAATATGCGCACACAAAAGTAAGAGACATATGCATTATGCCGGAGGTATTAGCCTAGTGTAAAAACGGTGTCATGTCTCAAGAGGTGGCCCTGTTGGATTTCAGTAGGAAACCACTAGAGAAATGAACGAGATGCTGAGCTATTTTAAATTATTGGAGAAAAACTGATCACCACGACTGCAGTCACCATTTACTGCTTTATTTATTACATGTTTATTCGTGTATGTTATTTGTTAACTATTACTTAATAAAAGTATTTATTTTGTAGAGAAAGCGTCTAAGGCATTAAACCTATAATAGTGAGGAGAAAATAAAAGGAAACCTAATAATGCAGAGATTGTGAACTATGTGCTTAATACATGAGTGCTCCCCAAGGTCCATGTGCAGTTTGGGATAGACGAACTGATATCTTCTCCTATAACCATCATAGTATGTGCAGTATGCTATTTATGTATCAAGTCCTATTTTCCGTGTCAATAACATTATGTGATATATGATGTAATCTCTTAATTAGAGAAAGAAAAATCAAGCAAGGTGATATGGTATGTGGTTAAGAGCATAGTTTCAAATTGCCACTCTGTCACCTACTTAGTTATCTGATTCTGAGGCAAATTTCCTAATCTCTTTGAACTTCGTTTTTCTTCCCTATAACACTAATGGTAATAATAATAAATACTAACTAACATTGACATATGGGTTATTGTGTGACATTCATTATCTTCAGCACTTTGAATTTATTAACTGTTAATTTCACATCAACTCTATGAGATAAGCAATATTATTATGCCATTTTAGAGATGAAGAAACTTAGGCACAGAGAGGTTATGCAACCTGCCCAAATTTACACAGCTGGCAAGTGGTGGACTAAGTTACCCTCTCTTTAGAGGACGTGCTCTTAACCAGATCCTAGCTATCTTGTAAGAATTATTAAATTCTTTACAATTATTTAATTGTAATGCATGCAGAACAATTATTTTGTCTGGAATATTAATCTTATTATTAATATAACTCATAGTATTAATAGTTATTAATAAAGTTTAGCTATTACTATAGTACATTAAAAATAGCACGTATCATCAGCTAGTGACTTTTGTTGGCCATATTGTTAAATACCAAAGTTTAAAAAAATAAAAACATAAGTCTTTTTTTCCCTAATAATTCTGTTAAAAGTAATAATATATGACAACAAAGCAATAATAAATTTGATTTTATATTAATATTTCTTTAAGAATGGCATGGGTGTAAATGAAAGAGATTAGACATTAAAGAAAGTTCTGTTGATTGTAAACTAACAGTTAGTAGCCTGGTAAAGCTTAAATTCTCTATCGTGTTTATTTGCAAGGCTGATTCTCATACTGAAATGGTTACCATCTAGATATTTAGTAAATGCAAATACGTACAAACATGTCAAGGTAAAACATTCAACACCAAGTAGAATCTGTGTTGTTATTATTATTATTGAAAATACTATCATAGATTATTAAAAATATATATGATATCATATACCATCATATATTTTTTGCTCTACTGGTATTAAATATATCCACTTTAAAGTAAATAACCACTGCTTACAAGATTCACATTCTACAGCTTTATTTTTAGGATTTGAAGGCTAAAATAAACATTAGAAAAATCTTTCAGAGAATGTTTTGAAACAAGACATCCTAGGACTAAGACAATGAAAAACACTATTAATATATAAAGTGCCTAAATATATTAATAAACATTTATTGAGCAAGTGTTCCATGCTGGGCCCTGTGTGGTTCCTAATATCACTGACCATTATGGAATCATCATGGGCACATCTAGTCTAAGAGTACAGAGGAGCAAGATAAGTTAACATGGCTGTATTTGGAAAGAAATTTTTAAAGAGGAAATGCAAAACACAGTACCACATTTAGCCAAGAGTTAGGGAGTAAACCATGTATTTTGAAACTAGCCTTGCTTACTTTCTTTTTTTATTAACTTTAAAATTTTTAAAGTTACTTTCCATATACAGTTATTACAAAATATTGGCTCTATTCCCCCTGTTGTACAATGCATCCTTGAGCCTATCTTACACCCTAGCCATGCTTACTTTCATTTTCTCTCTGTCATCTATTAATCAGCCATCTCAGAACAAAATGTGACTTTTTGCGACAGAACGGAAAACACATCCAAAGCTTCATACGGTATGACTCGGTATCCTGGATAAATAAGAACTCTAGAAAGCCAAGACCTCAAACTTTTATCCTTCTTGGGAGATAAAATCGTTTGACAGAAAGCAAAAACATTAGGCAGCTGACCCACCATCTTCCAATATTTTCTGGACTATTTTCTTGATTCTGGGAGCTTCTGCGTCCAGACAGATTTTCTTCCCATTCTTCAACATTGCTCTGCAAGAGAGAATAGAATTATCCGAGAGCATCCTGGCACACTATCAGAAGGGATCCAACAGTGTCGGTAGGGATGGAGGTGAAGGGCTTCCCTAGTGAGGCAATACTG